GTAGTAGTGATAGCTCTCGTCAGGTAAGGAGGAGGAGATGAATTGGTTCCTAGACGAATCCCCAATGGAAATCCGAAGAATCGTTATGGAGGCGGTATCGAAGGCCGAATGGGATACGCTTGAGGTGGGTCCTTGATGAGGGGCAGAGCTTGCTGCAAGTTCGCACTAAACCGGTTCAGACTGTGTCTCAACCTACTCATTCCCGTAGGGCGAGATAGGTCTCGGGTTCGAATCCCAGGCTCAGTTTCTTTCACACAGAAAGCATTCTTCGTTTGACTTGCAGGATGTGAGAATTTCTAACTTGGAGATTCTTATATTTTTGTAAGTGTACCAGTTCCACAAGCTTGTGATGGGTTCTTCCGCCGTGTTGAAACTCTTCCTATGCTCCTCTCTGGAACTCGTATGCACATTCGAAATACGCCGAATTGCAGTATAGATATCCGTTCGCAACGATTTCATTTAAGTACTCCTTTGAGTAGGCAAGCTCTTTGTGCTGCTGCGACTTGGAGATAACCTTCGCGGAGTTTCAACGTCTGATCATCCGAATGGTCGAGAAGCTGGTCGCGCATCAGGAAAACGTCGCAGCCCATTATGAATCTCACTCTGCTATGTAAGCATCCGCATTGCCCATCAATGATGGGCCTGGCCCATTCACACTATGAGGGGGCCATCTCATTTTCGTCCACTTCAGATCCTCGTGTCTCCGCTCCTATGTTGTGGATATTTTACTGCCTGTGCTGATCGGGGGCAGAAGGTACGGTATTGTTGACGTCTCCAAGTTGAGGTTATCAGCAGGTATAAAGACGTTGCGGAGAAAAAGGAAATCATCGACAGTTGCCCTGTTGAAGGAGACTCTGCAGTGGAGAAGAATGAAGGGGAGGCGGCTGATGATGATGACGTTGGAGATTCCTCAAGCGATGAGGAGGGTCCCGAACCAAACGTATGATCATCCTATCTATTCGAAATCCTACGGACTTGATCGTGAGTAGGCTAACTTCCCCATCTGGCTCGGTCATCTTAATCAACGATCTGAGTTCCTGCCAACATTAGTGCTAACAACAGCAGTGCTCTGAAGAATAGTCTTCTTAGAGGACTGAGCCCGCAGGAAGACAACCTGTGATGCCATGACGATAGTGTGGAATATGTGTCGTTGAGTTGCTAGTTAGTTGGATGCAGG